ACACACTCACTCACACACACACACACACACACACACACACACACACACATACACACACACATGTATTCCAACACATATACACATTAATACACACACACACTAATACTATGACAAATACACAATGTCACATACATATTTATATAAACAGCCACATTCTCTGTCAAATACACACAAAAAGTGTTACATAATCTGAATAAATAAATGTAACTTCCTTGATTAAAGGGTGTAAAAGGGATACTTTCACAGAATTGTATGTCCTTACACACAATCATATGCATTTTATGATTAGTTTGCTTAATACTCACATCAAAATAGGTCCCCGCGTGTTCCAGAATCAGCTGGGTGGAGTCAGGCTTGTTCTTACAGTAATTCACATACATCCGAAACTTATCCGCCTAAAAATAAAACACATACAAAAAAAATAAAAAATTTACATTTTGAACAAGAAGATGCTCTGTTTTTCACTTCTAAGAACTGGTGTCTCTTTTAGAATGACAAGCTGTTATCAGAAACTATTAAATAAACACTGATTTAAGAGATGCTTCATAAATAGTGTAATATAGCTGTAATTGTTTTAATATTATGCACCCAATCATTGCTTTCTGATAATAGGAACCTTATATGATCAAAAATACAGGAAAAACATTAAAATTGTGAAATATTACAATTAAAACAACAACAATTTTATTTTATTATTTAATGTAAAATGTGTTTTTTTTCCCTTTGATGGCAAAGGTGAATTTTCAGCAGCCCTTACTTCAGCCTTCAGTGTCACATGATCCTTCACAAATCATTAATTTGTTGCTCAAATAACATTTTATCATCACAGTTGAAAAGTATCATGCTGCTTAATATTTTTGTGGAAACCGATATACAGTACAGAATTAGAATTATTTGATGAATAGAAAGTACAAAGAACAGCATTTATTCCCAAACCTTTGAAGCTTAATGTATGTACTATGTACAGTACTTACTATAATAACAAGTTACTAACCCTGAACCTAAAACTAAACCCATTTAAGTCTAAAAAGTGACCTTATGTTACTCTTATAGTACTTTCTTTGAATGTAAACTGTAATTGCATGTACTGTCAAATACAGTGCAACCCAGATATGTGTTCTAATGATCTGATTTAATGTCAATATAATGTTACATGAGTCTAGTGCACTTCTTGATAAGATTATCTCTAGCACACTGACACTCACCCATGTGACGAAACAGTGACCCACATCCTCTGGAAGCTGCTCATATTTTTCCAGTTCTTTAAGGAAAATACTGAGAAAAGGACAGAGAAGCATGTTAATGGTAAGTAAATGGTAAGTAAGTAAAGGACGTTAGAAATACATAATTATAAGAATCGCAGGTTATAAGGTTCACTGACTTGTGATGGAACTCTAATAGGTCTTGCATGTTGCCGAAAATGATGTGCTCTTTGTTGACAATCCCTGGGGGAATCTCCTCCACACCACTGCTCATCTCCCACAGATATGTCTGAAACACACACACTCACACTTCAAATTTTTTCCATTAATGTGATAACAGACTAATACTATTACACTTGCGTCTCTGAAACTAAATACAGACAACTCCTGTATTTCAGTGTTAACATTGATTTTATCTATCTGGATGTGTTCAGATTGTGGATAGTTAACTCTGATTTTATTGGTTAATACGATTTTTCTTCAAATGCATCTTCAATTATGTCAGTGGAAAGTATTTCTGAAGCGAAGAACATTCTCTAATAATTTATATCAAATGTACTTTAATTTGATCAAGATGATTATGAAAACAACAAGAACATGATATTAAAAAGGGTCAATTTTGAACATGTTTTTACAGTTTTAATAATATTTTCACCTTTCCATTTTGACAAAGTCTTGTGGTATTAACCAGTATTAATCAGAATTCTGGGTCATAAACCATATTATCCAGAATATGCACTGAAACCGAATATTAATGTTTATCCTTAAATATCAAAACAAAAGTAATTCTGGGTGCTACGATAGAACAATCAAGTCAAACTATTGACGACTATTGATCTTTTTTTTTTTTTTTTTTACACACATTAAACAAAATAAACATAAATCAATATACATATAAATCACACTTAATGAAAATAAATGAGCTGATTAAATTACCGTGCAAAATTATGAAAATGCATCATAATAAATGAATCACTGATAGTTTTTTCCCACCAGAAGAGAATGAAGGAAAAAGAATGCACATGTATTATTTTCGGAATATGATTACATGAGTATTCCAAAGTGCATGAATATTCCAATAGCTGTGGAAATGTGGAGATTCAAAAATGGTGCATGTAAACATGGTCAGTGTTTTAATGACACCCATCTTTTCATGAGATCAAACAGCAGCTATTCCTGGAGAAACTGGATTGTTCTTGGGCTGTACTGCAGTGAATACATTTATAGCACAGGGCTTTTGTGATCTGTCCAAAGTGGACATTGGTGTACCACACCCTCTAAATGTCGGTCCGTACGGAGCAAACCGTGACAACAGAACTTACATCCATACACTCCCGCAGGTCTCTCACATATGTCTTCTCGGTCTGAATGAGCTCCGCCATTATAAACCTGAAAAGAGAGAGGTAACAGGGCAATGCACCAGAGACCTATTGTCAACATTTGTTTGAAAGCACAATAGCTCTGGGAGGGATTTCAATCTAGTATAAAAACCTCAAAAATTAAAACATGTTTCCTTTAGTATGCATATTTATGGGTGTTTCCTCAAAACACAAAGTAACTAAAGCTGGACTTTCATCAGATGAAGTATTAACCCTTCCCTTTCAGCACTTCCTGTTGTTGGCTTGATATCATATAATCAGGTTTAAAAGATATACTCTTTTCTGCGGGCTGATTTCCGCTTCTCCTCATTGAGTTCATGGTTGGCATCTCGGAACTTGACCTCTGCACCAGGAGCACTGGCTGGAATGATGTCCAACTGCAGATCTTTACTCTGAAACCCCAAACGAAATGCTTTAATGGTTAGAAATTACCTTTCTTTCATAAATTAACATGGTTAACGACTCTTACAGCAAACGTTTTGTTCATCCACACTCCAGCCATGCAGGCCACATCAACACACCTACTCTCACAGCCCTCTCACCGCTTTGTTGGAGTCAGTGGACAGGCCGAGCGCTTTCTCCAGGCAGGAACGGTACTTGTCCATGCGGAGGGAAAAGTCACGGTAGCGTTTGTCCACCGAGGCGATCCATTTCTGAATCTCGCTCGCATGGGAGTGGCCCTTCTCACAAAAACCATCAGCCAGCTGGATCAACAACTTTACCCGCTCTTTGGTTTGCTGGAGAGAGAGAGAGAGAGAGCTGCACTGATTCCACAGAGGCAAAGATCAGAGTGTAAACATAATCTGAGAGGTGTATTGTGATTTGCTGGTGAGTTGATAAACCTGCGACATGCTGACAATCGCAGTTGATCCCTTAATTGAGACATACCTTGGCTGTAATCTGGAATTCCTCATGTTCTTTCAGCAGTTCCTGTGTGTGGTGTATAGTGGAGCCAGTGGAGGTGTGTGTGGATAGGTAAAACTCTCCTGTATCATGGATCCACTCCAAAGCCTGCAGAACAAGACAAAATGACAAGAAAAAATAAGACGCTTAGAGGATAAAATGTGAATGTGTGCATGTGTTTTTGTTGTTGTTTTTCTAATCTTGTGGAGCAAAGTTTTTGAAAATAGCCTCAACAGAAAAGCAGTAAAGGGACACAACAATGTCGTCAAGGTTAGGTTTAGTTTATAGAATTTATAATTAGCTTTTATTAACAATAGCTGTAAAAGGGAAGTCCAGACAAGGATATATAAAAAGCCAGTGTGTGGGAATAAATGTGTATATGTTATACTCTCATGTGTCCACAAGAGGGAGTGAGATCTCTAAAAGTGCTCTATCTCTATCAACATTTTCATATCAATTTAAAAATAACTGATTTTTTAGAACAGGTTGCATTGTGTGCAGGTTTGCCACTAATTTGCACTGACAACATGTTTCTGTGTGTCAAAGAGGAACTTTGTGGGCCACCCTCATTACAGGGCCTGGGGAACATCGGGACACAAGTCTGTGAGTACTGCAGCAGAGCACTGTGTGGTCAAACTACAGTCCTTCCTCTCAATTACTAAGCATTTAAACACAGAACGAAGACAGAAACTCCATCCAGTACCACAGACTTCCTGAAACCCTACACTGTAATTATGCAGCAGACACAATTTACACAACTTGTGCATTAGGAGAACCTTTTCAGTTGTTTTTTTTAGGCAGATGCTTTTTCACCATAATAGGGCAACAATATAAATGAAGTGCTAGTAAGAGCTACAAATACAGTACACTTTTTTTTCAAGCATGTGATACATGACAGTTGAACCTCTTTCGGGTTTCTATAGCAGAATGCTTGACCTGACGTGGTTCTGTTATTTGAGACTCCAGAAATACTTGTTGAGGCCTTCTAGTCAATTGTGTATGACATAAAATCATTTCATCTCAAATAGACAGTAGGGTTTGAAGAACAAAATTCTGTAAGCGAAACTGATGTTTGATGAAAGTGAAGAAATTATATTTTCCTACCCTTTCATGAAATTTTGAGACTTTTTTTAAGAGATGACACTCGCATACACTGTATGATGCATACCGCACACAAATATGGCAATGCAACGAATTAAAAATACACATTTATCAGAATTTCAAATTCCTGGGAACTGAAACTGTGACCTTGGTGTTTGTAGCACCATGCTTTCCCACTGTGTCAGATTTGCTTATACAAATGTGTATTTAAGTACAGTATATGCCAGCCAGAGGTCATGCTAGAAATCATTGCCTGTCATTTTTGTCCTAAAATTAAAAACTGTCAACAAATGGTCATTTAATAAATAAACATTATTATTACTATTATTATTACTGTTGCTGTTAATATATAACAATATCCAGTAAATTATTCTCCTATTCCCTCCAATTTCCTTAACTTGTTTTCAGGTCGGCATGTTAAAGCTTAACTCGTTATTTTCTTCCTTTCTAATCCCTCTTAGCATTCCCTAAAGCAGGAATATTTCTAAAGAAGGGACATGACCTTACTATTAATATGTCTTATTTTTAATGAGTTGCCCAAATTAATGGTAAGCATAAGCCTTAAGCTGTACGGAAATCTTTCACTTCTTTTTTGTTCTTTATTTTCTGTAAAGCAATACTTACAATCACATTTTGCACTATATTTTGGTTTTGTCTGTATGAGGAAGATGGTGTGGTGACATTTTTATCATGATATCAAGTTACTGCTTTGTTGAAAGGCAAACCATCAACGTGGAAGCTTCAATCTCAGGTGCACCTCTTCACAAAGAGATTCTTTTGTCTAAGTTACTTGACAAAATGAGACACAATTTGGACCAGACTATACAATGATTCAAAAAGCAGGCTCCGCTAGACCGTCTGTACAGTGCTCTGCCTTTTTACTGGTTCAGACCTGGATTAAACCAGAACTGACCTGTTTAGCGCTGCGTTCAAACACCACATACTGCTGACACTGGTCAAGCCTTCTCTTCCTCATGGTCCAGAAGTGCAGAACCCGGTTCTCCCGCTGCAGCAACTCATTCAGGATGTCTGCAGTACACAGAGACAGAATCAGAAACACAGAACATGATAATCATATAATAACGCTAATCAAATAGCAAATAATGGTTCACTTCAAACTAAAATGTGGCTTAATATTTGGTCCTTTAAACCAGTCATAAAAGGGCTTTTTTTTAAAAGGAGCATGTAGTCTTACTCTTGACTTGTTGTTCAGGGGCCTTGACATGTGCGAGCATTCCCGGCATATTCACACTGTTTCTGTGTAAGTACTTGAGGAAGACATCAGCATTGCGTCTTGCTAGTGTGCATGCCTTCAGAAAAAAAAGGGTCAGTTATGATTAAATTTGCACCAAATTTTTAATGTCACGATCGGAATGATACTTGAGAACCTGTGTGTGTGCATGTGTGTATGCGCTAGGTACCTTGAGGAAGGCCTCTTTCTGCTCCAGGTGTTTACTGATCATGGGCGTCACGTGATCAGACTCGGAGTTTGGTCCCAGTTTATCAATCCCTCCACACCAGTCTTCCTCTCGTTTGTATTCCTGCTCTAAACTTTCCAGCACACTACACACCTGCAGAATACACACATGTAGTTATACATAAAAAATATAAGCAACAACAAACCCGGATATGTAATAGCTCTATGAAAGCCTATTTCCACCACATAAAAAAAAATAATAATAAAAATAAAAATTATGAAATACTATAATTATGAGATAAAAAGCCAAAAGTGAAGAGATAAAAAGTCAAAATTATGAGATACTAAGTCATAATTATAATATAAAAAGTAAAAATTACGAGATATTGAGTCATAATTATGAGGTAAGTCAAAACTGACATAAAAAGTTATAAATTATGACAAAAAGTCATAATTATAAAATAAAAAAATAAAATTATGATAAGTTAATTAATTAATGACAAGCACTGATAAGTACTTGCATCATGATTTTGACATTTTATGCCATAATTATGACTTTGCATTTTATAAATGCAACCTTTTATGTCATATGACATTTTATCCCATAAGTATGAACACTATGTCATAATTTACTAATTTGTTTTCAATCCAGTAAAAACGGTTCAGTACAAAGAACAATGAGGGGAAAAAACACATTAAACATAAACAACAACAACAACAACAAATGTTTTAGCCTCCTTAAAGCGCCCCTATTATGGATTTTTGAAAATGACCTTTCATGCCGTGTGTAACACAGCTCTAAGTGAATGAAAATATCCTGCAAAGTTTTAAATCTGAAAGTGCACCGTGTATAAAGTTATTGTGTCTCAAAAGAAAGAGTCTTAAGTCTTTTTTTAAACGAATCCCAAGCCGTTTCATGTTGACGTCAACATGAAACATTAGCATATTGCCCGCCCACTTGTTGCACACGCAGACCTGGGAAACTTGATTTTCGCGTTGGTCTGAATGAAAATGCTAATTCACAAGGTGCCGCTTTTGGAGCGGTAAAAATAGCGGTTTCCCCGGTAACGCTGTACACAAAGCAGCACTGCGCTCACAAACACTGCTTTATCAGGCATTACAGGC